AAAAGTTTTTTTTCTCTTACTTAATTGGCCTCTTAGAGTTGGTAAGACAACTCCCACCTATTCATGCTCTGTGTACGTGTGTGTGTATATATATCTCCTCTATATATGTTTCACTCTATATGCATCCGAAGAAGTGGGTTGTAGCCCACGAAAGCTTATGCTCTAATAAATTTGTTAGTCTCTAAGGTGCCACAAGTACTCCGGTTCTTTTTACATTTTTAAAAGTGGGTCTTTTGCACAGTGTAGACAGCAAGTTGCGTTTGCTGGCCATGGTCAACCCTAGGCTTCCCCCATCTAGCAGGTTTTTAAACATGACTTGCCCTGTCTACACTAGGTACAAAATCTTGTTTACAGTGTGTTTAGCTACTGTTTCAAAACATGGCTGTTTTTCCTAGTTTAATTGTGCCCTCTGAGCCTGGTGTTTAAATAAGGCATATTTGTTTGACCTTTGGTTAAAACTGTGGAGTGTTTTCCTCTGGTGTATTGGGGTGGCTGATAGGGAGGCAGATACTTTTGATGACAGGTGTTGTCAGTGCTGAAATAGTGTTCGGATTTTTAAGGTAAAGTTTTTTCAAGGTAAAAATGTCAGGTTTTTTTACCCCCTGTGAACTTAAAGCATGTTTATTGTGAGTTCTCACACATTAACAGAAGGGCAGAAGTGCTGAAATAAAAGACCCGTTCATTAAATTTTAGTAATTGAAATCATATAGATATAACAAAAACACAATTTTGGGGAAAAGAGGTCATGATTGACGTTGTTTTAGCTGCCATGATTTTGGTCTCTTTGTAGACCACTTTTGACACTTAACACGAGTTAACTAGCCGCATTCCTCTATGGTGGGAGCCTAGGGTTGACTAAAGCCAGTTAATGTGTTAAAAGCTGTGTTTATACTTGGAGCACAATCATGGTCAAAGTTACCAACCATGACCTGTTTTCCTAGTCAAGACAAGGCCTAACATTTTGACTAACAATCCTTTCTCCTCTTAATTATTCCACTTTTGCTCTCTTCACTCTTAGAAGTATCATTGCAATAGTTCTCCAGTTAGCATAGTCTTCCAGGCTGGACAGGAACTGAATTTCTAATGTTTAAAAAAAAAAAACCCACAGAGTAAAAGCTCACCCTTTCAGGCATTTTTTATACATCATAAGGAAGCGCCCCAAAGTGTGGGGGTGGGTGGCACAAGCTCAACTTTTGTTTCCCTTCTTCAAGTCCCCATTTGATATAGCTCTTCACAGCAGGGACTGTCTTCCTCTATCTCTATAGAGCAATTTGCACATTTTGGGGGTTCTAGCAATAAGTGTGAAACAACTTCACATGCACTGCAATATCTAGTTAATTGTCATAAATTAAGGACACAGCATCAACCTTTACTTTGCATTTTTGTTTTTGTTTTGCTTGCAAATCACAAAAACGCTGTACATTTTTTGTTTAGCTATTTGGGAGAAGGGGACTTGTATTTTCAAGCATTAATGTGAAGCTGTGTGGAAAGTGCAGGTGTTCTAAAGATTCTTAATAGTTTTAATTTACAAATAAAGAATAGAAAATTAGAGGAATCATTTCTTTGTGCAGATTTGTGATCCATTAGACTCTGGTGATTTCTTCTGTAAATCCTGCTTAGGAGTGGTTTTTAATGGCTTTTCCCCCAATGTGCAGAATCATCAGCTTAATACCTGTATATCCGTGTGCCACAAAATGTTTTCATTTTATACTTGAGCCATGTTGTTGCTTAAGATAGAATTTTTAGCCACCTAAAGAAGAGAGATGCATGCCTTGTGATATTTGCAGTTAAAAGTTTCTCTCAGGGGGAGGCTACAGAGGATGGGCTGAAGCATATCACCGTTGATTCACTTAAGATAACTCTTCCTTTTGTAGTTCACTAACTTGATGATTAAGGAGAAGTATAAGGAATTTAAATTTCTGCATCTCTTTTAATATTGTAATACAACCAGTTGGGTGCAGTGCACTCATACTTTCTGTAATGTCAAATATTCTGTAGCTCAACTGCTGTATTTATTCAGTTTATCACTAAGACCATAAATTTGGTTTAAGTGAATAGCAGTGTAATCCATGTGTACTAATCATTAACTTCAATGCATGTGTACTTAAATTTGTTCAACTCCTCTCAATGGCTCCCCTGAGTGGGACTAGGAAAGATGCTTGAAGCATGTGACCCCCTTCTAAGTAATATTCCTTACTCTCTGCACAGTGCCTGCTAGAATGTCACAGAGTGAAACTTGCACACATCTTAGTGGAAGTGTGTCCTTATTGATTTGTTTGCCATAGTCCTGATGCGTAGGTGCATATATTAGTGTGCTTACTACTGTCTATGAGGATATTTACTAACAGTAATTACAATTCAGAGTTAAGGTGTCATGTTGGTTTGGCTTGTTTTTTTCAAAAGCACTTTTACATTAAATTATGAGGTTCTCTATTATACTGTTAATGGCTGAAGTATTTTCAACATATACTTATTTCATGATGTAATTTAAACTGTATCCTGAAAAGTTTATAATTTGCTGTTAATGAGTTTTTGCTCATCTTGTCTTGACACTGACCTAGCTTATCTCTTCATTTAGACTAATAGGTGGATCTGATAACAAACTAATCTACCGGCACTATGCCACGTTGTACTTTGTCTTCTGTGTGGATTCTTCAGAAAGTGAACTTGGCATTTTAGACCTAATACAAGTAAGTGTTGCTTATAAAGGAAATTCCATATTTTTAAAGATACTTGGTGTTTCTGCCTTCAGGCTTACCTTTTTCTGAATTGCTTGAAAATAAAGATGACTTCCATTACAGTATAAAGTACAACATACTTGTGTTAAACGTTGTACAGTTTCCTACCATTACTAGAGAAAGTTCTTTTTTTCCCAAGTTAATGTTTAGGTAAGAAAACAGTTCATTTGACAGGTAATGAGCCTAAATTATAATCTGCCATATTTTGTTGCAGTTTTGCAGAGAATTGGGGTCTAGTTTTGGTAACAGATTCATTCAGTTCAAATGGCTGTTTTCCTGGATTTTTGTTTCCTCTTTGCTCACTTTGGCATTTTGTAGTGTCTGAACTGTGTAAGCTATTGGATACCACATACAATGAATCATCTTTTCACAGCTGTTTGCTCTACAGAGTAGAGTTTCTTTGTTTTGTAGCATATCTTCTTACTCAAATGTGTTAAAATATTTACAAAGTGAGAAGAGCAGCACATTAATATTTAATGTAACTTCTCATGTATTTCTGAATATTCACTTTATCTACAAAACATACATCTTCATTCTTAATTAGAAACAATAGGATTAGAAAAGACCACTTGACTTATCCGGTCTGATCCCTTGCATTTTGCAGGGCCACTTATGCAATTCCAACTGATTTCTTTCTTGCTGAGCTCGAATATGTACAATGATGATGTTCAGCAACCTCCCAATAATTCCACTATCCAATGGCATTGTCTAGCCTGTGTTTCCTTTTTGTAACTTCAGGACAATGGCTTTATGCATATTAAAGCCTTTAGGTAGGTCTGCAACCATCATAAAATATCAACATTAAATCTTTGTTCTCAAACTTCTTCATAGGTTGAAGTACTTCTTGTGATAGAGATGCTTTTGCCATTTCATCTCCCAATACCAATCTGACATCTTCCGTGTGGAAGCTCTAATGCTTGGAAACATAAACAGATTAGGACTGTGAAGGAAACAATATATTTATAAATGCTTTTTAGGTCACCTTTAGCAGATCAGAGTGTTCCATGGATATTAATCTTTGACTTTCACTCAGAGGATATACTGTACATGTTTGCCCAGGTTCCAGTCTCTGCCTCAAAGGAGTCTCATGTCAGGACATACCAGTGAAACCTTTCACCTTAATAATGTAGACATTTTAGTGTTATGAATTTTACACTTCTTGTATACAATCATTTTTAAGGCTCTATACACATTGTTTAAAGGCTTTGTATCAGTATTTGTGATTAACTAGAAAAGGGAGAGTTCTATGCGTTCGCATCATTATCACTGGGTATGTAAAGTCTACAGGGTTAAATGTGAGTTATTCTTAAATCTCCCTTGAAGTGTTACAAGAGGAAATCAAGGCCTTGGTTCAGTTTTTTCTCTCAGTAGAGTTTATGATATTATAGCCACAGTAAGTAAAATGAAACTAGAACCTTGGCAAACAGCGAGCCATGCTAGTGTGAGGGAGAGTCACATCAAACTTTCAAAAGAATCTAACTAATTTGGGTGCCAAGTCCTTTTGACTTGACTTTCAGTGAGACTTAAGCTTCTAAGTCAGTTTAGCACTTTTGAAAATTTTACCCTTTATGTATACTCATGACTTCTAAGACTCACTTCCCCATGAAGTACCCAAAAAGAATTTTGAGATCTCAGTGGTTACAAGCTGTACAGAGCTTTGCAAGTTGCATTTGTGCAATCAGACAGTTTTATGGGAGGCATAATGCAGTTTGGTCTGAAAGATGGATTTCTTAATTTCTTAACGTCAAGTTGTTATGACCGTAGATGCATGTGATTTACCTCGCTCTGCGTGGATGCAAGTATTGCAGTCTTTAGAGGCACTAAACTTAGAGGTCCTGGGACAACAGATTACTGTAATCTTTAACAAGTCTGGGGTCCAAAAAGCCTAATGTTAATTCAAACAGGCATGTGAGATACAAGATAGAGCTGGGTGGAAAATGATTTTCCTGTTCTGGAAGAACTTTTGAGATTTCAGAAAATTTTTCTGTCTCAACTTGGGACAAAAAGTCTCTCTCAAATTTTCACAAACCGGAAATCCAGGGAAAAATTCAGATTGGGTCAGTTGAAACATTTGAGAACTTCAAAACATTTCACTTACATTTTTCCTTTACATTTTTTTCCTTTACTGTAAATTAACTTAAATTTTGAACTGAAATTCAGGAGACATGTCAGCAATTTCAAAACTTCTTTCAACCTTTTTTTGTCACAGGATGTTCATCAGAACCAACCCTATCCTGCAGCAGATTTGATTTCAACAAATAGGCATTTTCTAATGAAAATGTTTTTAGTTGAAAAATTCCTGACCGGCTCTAGTACGAGGTCAGCCCTTTTAGTTTAGGTTAGAACTGGGCAGAAATCCAAAAAACTTCCTTCTGGTTGATGAAATTGAAAAATTAAAAAAATCAACTGTAGTTAAGGTCCATTTCACAGATTTGCCTGAAAACTGACAAATTTGTGCTTTGGCTGAACACCAGAGGGAGTGATTTCCACAGTCTGACCCCCCCTCTTATGTACTGGCAACTGGAAATTCTCAAAAGAATTTGTTAACTTTTGTAGCACTTCAAGTACAGTAGTGCCCAGATATCAGTACCCAAGTCCTGTTGTGCAGCACCTGGCACAAACATAAGAAGAGATGGACCCTGTTTGAAAGAGCTTGTGATCAAAAAGACTGTCAGCAAAAGCATCTCAGCTGACTTGAGCAGTTTTTAATAGTGCACAGGGAATGATATGGTCCCTAAAGCGTCCACCTCCTAAACCATATAAGGTTTTACAGAGTAAAACAGATACTTCAGATTGCACCCAGAAGCAGAGGGGAAGTCAGTGTGGTTTATGTAGAACAAGTGTAATTAGGGTGACCAGAGGGAAAGTGTGAATAATCGGGATGGGGGGGTAATAGGTGCCTATATAAGAAAAAGCCCCCCAAATCGGGACTGTCCCTATAAAATCGGGACATCTGGTCACCCTAAGTGTAATGTGCTCATGCTGACCAGCTCCACTAGGTGGATTGTTATACTAAGCACTATTAGAGCTTCCAAGTTTCATTCAAAGTCAGCCCCATGTGTGGTGGTGCTGCATGTATTTATTGCTATAACTACTAATGTCCAACCATCTAGGTATTAAATGTGTGGATGATTGTCCCATGCATCTATCAGAGATCACCTTGAGGCAGCTGTTTGAATGATGACATTACAGCTTGTACTGCAATGAAAACACTTTCACAGGTGGACTGGCTTCATCTTTCTTGAGGTTTGCTAGTGCTCTTTAGATCTGGTGACACACCAAAACCTGAGTTAAGAAAACCTAAAGTAGGTCTATTGACACCAAATACAAACAGGACTTTCTAGATCTGAAGTAGACATTCCATAATATTTCTTATATAGATTTATCGTTTTATAGTATCTGTTTTAGATGCATTTGATTGCATATCTGGTTTTTTCAGCTGTTAATGCTGTAATAGAATGTGAGTATTTAATGCAAGAGGAGAAAGGATGGTCTTGTGGCTAAAACACTGGACTTCAGAGATCTGGGTTCAATTCCCTTCTCTGCCATGGACTTCCTGTGTGATCTTGGGCAAGTCATTTAGTCATTCTGTCCCTCAGTTCCCAGTCTCCTGCTTGTGTATTCTTTTTCTCCCCCTTTTTGTCTGTGTAGAATGGAAGCTCTTCAGGGCAAGGACTGTGTTGGTATGTTGCTGAGCACAGTGGACCATGATGCTGACAATGGACTCTTAATTTGTCTTACCAGAACACTAAGAACAAGCTGATGTTTTGATTGCTTATGCTATATTTAGTATTGTATATATTTAGGTTTATTAATATTTGTTTAAAATTTAAAACAAAAAATAAAATACAGCTTTATTGTAATAGTTCATGTAATTCTAAAAGTAAAGCACAAGGGGGTGCTAGAAATTCACTTTGGATCATAATTAGTTATGGAAAACACAGTATTTCTACATCTCTAGTCACCAGGTCTTGGCTTGAGATTTATTTGACTCCAGAATTCATTTTTAATTCTCAGTTCTGTGACTCACATTGTTTCTGCATTGTTGCTCAACCTTTTTTATGAAGTTGCTTTGTGAAAGTCAGTAGGTAGCCAGCAATTCCTTAGATGTCAGTTTCATGATTAATTTAGTGTCCTGTAGTTAGTCTCAGCTGCAGTGGTATCCCTGTAGTACATTTGAACTAGTTTTTCTCTTAAGGAGAAAGAAGCCCCAGGTTCTTATGATCCATAAGTGCTACTAGATCTGAAGCAATTACTGCCTTGTTTGAGATCTGTGCGCTTTTATCTCTTGGTGCACTTGTTGGACTCTAAAATAAATTTTGTGCTGTAAGCATGTTGGCTCTTATTTTATCCACTGATGCAGTTATTCTGAGACTTAAAAATAAAACTTAATTTTAATTAACCTCCCTTATTATAACTTGTATTCTAGAGTAATACTTTTTAAAATCAGTATGACATAAAAGGTTATAAACCTGTTTACAGTCTGATTCTGGGTTTCTGCCCTACCAGTGTCACACATAATCCCAGCTGTTACCAGTAGAAGACTGAGACATTTCAAATATTTATTAATAGAAATCTTGTGAAAATTCCAGCTGTGGGGCTCTGCAAAAGTAATAGTTTTCTCTTAATTTACCAGTGTATTTAGTGCTTAATGATCATGCCGTGTAGACAGAGGTCTTTGGGCTTCGGTGGTTATCTTCCAAAACTTTCCTGTATTGTCTTAGATAACTAATTATGCTACCTTGATATTTGCATTAATTAACTATTTTTTTTAAGAGCAGCCACTGAAGTTACGGATCTAAGGCTGTTGTGAGGAGAGGTCCTAGTTGTTGGGATAATTTAAGAGTGAAATACTGTTCAGTTGCTCCTTTCCTATTCCCCTGTCTGTGAATATAAAAATTGCTACTGAAGACACTTCTCTTCTTGTGTCTTATTTTAAAATGTCATTTTGTATAAAGGAACATTTTTCAAAGCACTAAATGAGTGTCTTAATGTCAGAATTTATAAATATCTTCTTGTCTGTGCTATGGAAAACTGTGCTTTTCCCCACCCCCAACTTCTAAACATAAATAACACGAGGATAACTGTTCCTCTAGCTAGAGGATACACTTCTTTTTTATTTTCTCTTTGTGGCTAAATGCTAGACAAAACTACCCTTATATATACAACCCCCTTGAGGCACACACAAGTTAAGAGAATTTCCCCTGGGAAGTCAGTTGGCTTCTCTGAGCCCCTTTATAAACATCATTTAAGTAGTTTAACATATGAACTAATCATTTGTAAACTTGCCCTGTTTCTAGAAGACATTTTGTGTCTTAACAGTTAACTATATGAAGAAAATTAGTACTTTTTAAGCATGAAGAAAAGAGGCACCTTGTTGGAGTTACTATTCAATTAAATGTAAGATATTTATTTGTAAGGTTAATTGTCATAGTAACTCTTGTATTGAATCCATTTAAGAAATAACACAGGTCTAGATCCACAAAGAGGCATAGACACCTAAACCTTTAGGCACCATTGAGATCTTCAACCCCTGCTCGCTGCCATCTAACCCTGTAGTTGCCTAAATTCATTAGGCATCTACTTTCCACTGGTGGGCATGCACAGTCCTGATGCCCTGAGCTACTTAGCACCCTAGCTCATACCTAAGCCCTAATGGAATTCTCAAACTAGGCTTTCCCCTACCTATCTTACCCGGGGGACCTATTCTGAGCATGCTTACTGGATCAGGCCCTGCATAAAAGACAGCCGGGAACTAGGTAGTTGGGAGTTGCATGTGCATCCATTATACCCAATATCGCAGTGGTTAGAGCATTCACTTGTAGAGTGACCTGATGTCCCGATTTTATAGGGACAGTCCCGATTTTTGGGTCTTTTTCTTATATAGGCTCCTATAACCCCCCACTCCCATCCTGATTTTTCACATTTGCTGTCTGGTCACCCTACTTACTTGGTATGTGGTTTGAATCTCTACTCTGCCTGATTTAGAGCAAGGGACTTGAACCCTGGACTTTTAGATCCCAAGTGAGTGCCCTATTCACCAGGCTATTGGATACAGTATGGTATATCTCTGTCTCTCCTGTTGAAGCTGTTCCACTTTGCATAAATAATAATGTATCTGAGCAGGGACTTGAACCTGACTCTCCATTCCCTAGGGGAGTGCCCTAACCACTTGGCTATAGAGTCAGTCAATCCCTCACCCTCTGCCCATACCAGGAGGTTTCACAGAGAGGTTCTCTGAGCTGGAGTTAGGAACCTAACTACCTTTGAGGAGATGGGCCTAAGCCCTGCCCCGGTTCAGCATTTTCTACTGGCTAGCTTAGGCAGCTCCCTGCTCAGTTTTTGGCTTTTGTGAATCCCTTTCTTAGGTGCCTAACTCCCCACTCAGTGCATGGGGAGCCTGGTCTTCAACTCCTCTTTGTGGAGTTAGTTCCAGTATTTTTTGCTTAAATTCAGTGCTGGTACTAAATAATGATACTTCTGTAACTCCACTAGAGAGAAAATTGGTTTTGATTTTAAAATGGAAATTAATAGTAACATGTTATGAGTAAAAGACCTTTTTGAAAATTTCATGCATGCCCTTAGCATTTGTGTTGAAGTGGTAAATTTCCCATTGATTTCCAATGGGATAGGGTTGGAACTTATGAAAATCCCCCCACGTCCCCACCCCCTTTCTGGCTGAGTAGGAAAATTGGTTATGGACATGGAAGATTTCCTTATTGGGCTGGGCTCAAATAAGCTCAAAATTGAAATTTTATGTGGTGTGATCTCCTATCCCAAATCAGAAAGGCATGTCTGGCTTGCATAGTAATTAACAGGCCTTTGCAAATAATGAGGAGGACTTGCAATGATAAAAAATGAAACCTTGTGCATTGTATGTAAAGCAAACTGTTAATAACTGATTTGGCTTTATATATATATATATATATGCATGCATACACACACACACACACACACACACAAAAATCCTTTTTTGACCTTAATCCTTTTTTTATTTATGTGCAGATTATTTTATTTATTGTATTCCTGTAGAGCCTAGGAGTCCTAGTCATGGGCCACAACCTCACTGTGCTAGGTGCAGAACATACACACAACAAAAAGGCATCCCTGGCCCATAAAGCGTGTGTTCTAAGTCTAAGACAGAGGCAACAGATGGGTATACAGATGGAAACAATGAGACCATGTTGGTCAGCATGATAGAGAGTGGTCTCAGCACATTGGCGGCTTAACTGTTGTCAAATTTTGTATAGGCATCATAGCAAAGATGGGTAATCAGGCAACCTTGCAGATGTTTATGGGAAGCACTTCCCAAGCATGAGGAACAGCATGGGAGAAAGCACAATGTTTGTTTGAAAATTTCAGAAATTTCAGTGGAGGCTGGCATGTGCCAGTTGGATATAAGTGTCAACAGCTCAGTAGTGAATGAGAGATGATAGACTGTGAAGTGCTTTGAAAGTTAATACAAGCAGCATATGTTTGATGCGATAAAGAAGGGGGGAGCCAGTGGATGGATGTAAAGAGAGGTGCAACTTGGTCAAATCAATGGGCTAAGAAAATGATCCATTCAGCAGCATATTAAATGGATATGAGTGGGGCAAGATTACGTTTGTCAAGGCCAGATAAAAGGATCTTGCAGTAATTGCAACATGGTATGATGAGAGCCTGGATGAGAATTTTATTTGTATGGATGGAGAGGAAAGTCTGTATCTTAAGATGTTATGCAGAAAGAATCTGCAAGACTTAGACATAAAGAGAGGTTCACTTTGAAGATGACACCCAGGTTATGGGCCTAAGTGACTGTCAGGATGGTGGTGTTGTCTAGTGATTGAGAAAGAAGGTAACGGGAAAGGTATGGGGGAAGATTAAGATCCACTTTAGCTGTGTTGAGCTTGAGCTGACAGCTAGACATCCACAAGGAGATGTCAGAGAGACTAGCTGAGATTTTAGTTTGGACAGAAGGAGACAGGTCTTGAGCAGGTCTATGAGTCCTCAGCAGAGATGTGGTAATTGAATTTGTGTTTGCAGATGAAATTACCCAGAGATAAGATGCAAAGGGAGAAGAGAAGGGGAGCTAGGACAGAGCCTTGTGGAACCCTCACAGATGAGGATGGAGAACAAGTTCTTAGCTTAGGTTAGGACATGGTCATTAGAAAATTTGGCAAGAGTGATTTCAGTGGAGTGCTGGGGCTGAAACCAGTCTGTGATGGATTTGAAGGAGAGGCACTTCAGACAATAGTTATAGACAGCTCGTTCCGTGCTCTTAGAGTTGAAAGGGAGAAGGGAAATGGGCAGTAGTTGAAGAAGCAAGTGGGGTCAAGGGTGTTTTATTTAGGAGGGGAGAGTCTAAGTCATGCTTGTATTATGGGGGTGGGAGGAAGAACCAGAGGAACATGAGAGGTTAAGGAGAAGAATAAGGGAGGGGATGAAATGATGGGATGGGGTCACTGGGGCAAATGGAGGGGATGGAGCAGGAAATTAAATGAGAAACTTCTGCCTCTGTGATGGGAGGAGGAGGAGAGAGTTGGAGGAGGGGAAGAGAAGGCAAGCCAAGGGAAGTGGGAGGGTCGCATCACATTTTAGCCATTTTCTCTTGGAAGAAAATGGCGAGATTCTGTGAGAGAAGTGGAAGCAGGCTGGGGCCCTCAGGGGCTACTGGAATACAAATAATTAATTAGTAAAAATAAACAGCTGAAATTCATTTTTACTAGATAGTTGGCATCCCAGTAAAATTAGAAGAAATGGTTCAGATCACAACTGCATAAAATTGCAGTATAGATGTTCTTGGAGTGTTCTTTCAATGTGTGAATATTCTTTAACTTTTGTATGTGTGTAATCCCTTGGCTACATTGCAGAGTTGTATTAAAAGCTGTCTTACTTCACATACTCTTTTTCCTGGGGCCTGCCAGCATACAGGATCCCAATAATAGTGTTAACCACACATGTTTTTCAGATACACTAGGCCTTGTAAAATCTACATGATCTCTATTTTCCTATATGTGCCACATTTGAAGTTCATAAATAATGAAATGATTGAGTTGCTCTTAAACCTTGACCTTTTGCTTTGTTTTTTCTTCCACAGGTATTCGTGGAAACACTAGACAAATGTTTTGAAAATGTCTGTGAACTGGATTTAATTTTCCATGTAGACAAGGTACTGTGGTGAGCTACTATAATACCAGTTGAACCAAACATTCTTCTTGACAAGAAACATTTGGTCCTGAATCTGACAGAGTGGATAACAATCCTATCCTTGGTGGTGGTGAAATCTTGTCAGTTTCTATCAAGTTATTTTTAAAGTGCAAAAAGTGTGCTGGAACATGTCTTTAAGAATGAAAAATGAAATTCATTAGTACATTTACTTAGGAGGTGCCTGCAATGTAACTGTGTATATAAATGCAAAATCAGAGACACCAGAATATTGTTTTTCTGATGAGGGAAGCTGATGGTTCCAAGAAATATTTTTGTCCAGGTTTCTTTTTTTAATTATATGTTACTCAGAATTGACATTAGCTTTGGATTTTAGCATTCCAAATCCAGCAATTGCCTTTCACATATTTTATTATGAACATATCACTCAGAAATGGAGTTAGCATACTGGGGGTGGGATGGATTCTGTACTGAATCCCCAATAGACATTAACATCTTCTTTTGTGTATAAATCGGAGGTTCTGTGAGAACTCCCAGCTAGATGCTATAATTGACTTATTGGTCTGGTATACGGACATGCTGTTACTAATGCAATCTATCATTTACAAGGACACTGTCAACTTCTGACTACAAGTAACATCTAAAATGACTATAGTTTACAGAGACTGGAGGAAAATAGTTATTCCCCTCAGTTTTTTCATTGTGTTTACTTTGTGCATATATCTGCTCTTTGTGTGCAGTCATTTCCCCCTCTTTGTGAGAGTTTTTCACATCTCAACAGAGCAAGAAAAACATAAAAGGGAAATGTGATAATGATGCAGAAAAACTGGAAAGGGGAAGAAGGGCAAGTGTACTACCTGAAACTCATGTTTTGAAGCTGAATAGATGATTGCAAGCTGACTGCAGCCTTCTTAAAGAAAGAATGCTTACTTGTTGACACTGATCACTGAAAATTTCAATAGATCTGTATTGGTGTTTGAACTGATACCGTATCCTGAAAAGTTCATTAAAATTTCACAGTAATAAATTAATTGTGCTTTCCCCATCCCCAAAAGAGAAGTCGGTTTTGCTCCTAAAATTAATTTGTTTGATTATGCTGATAATATTGAGATTGCAAACAGTGATAGACAAATATTTTATTATAACCTTGTGGGTTTCTCTTTATGACAAAACAGTTTTTTCATCAAATAAAGTAACTCAATCTAGACAGAATCCACTAGTGGCTTAGGCCAATATTTTCAAACCTGCAGCCTAAAATTAGGCCCTTCATTCCATAGTTAAGCAAAAGTTGACTGATTTTTCCCCCCCCCACCCCCAGGTGAAAAATCAGGTCACTTCTACTAAGTGGCCTAATTTAAGGCTTTCAGGTTTGAAAATACTGGCATTAATCTCTACAGTTCTTTGATTGTATTGTGACCATTTGCAATGAAAAAGGTTACCAGGATTATGACTGTCTCATTTGAGCTACTCTTAATTTTTTTTTTTTCAGTATGTTTGTAACTGATCCATAAAGCCATATTAAAGGAACTGGCACATGAAATTACAAATCCAATAGCAAGGATTTTTAATGAACCTGTAAACAGATTGACTATGACTGGAGAATTGCTAATATAATTCCTATTTTTAAGAAAGGGAGTAAAAACGTGATCCAGGAAACTACAGGCCTGTTAGTTTGTATGCAAGGTCTTGGAACAAATTTTGAAAGAGAGAGTATTTAAAGACATAGAGGTTAATGGTAATTGGAATAAAATACAACATGGTTTTACAAAAAGGCAGATCATGCTAGACCAACCTGATATCTTCCTTTGAGATAACTGATTTTTTTTTTTTAGACAAAGGAAATGCAGTAGATCTAATCTACCTGGATTTCTGCATGGCATTTGATACAGTTCCACATGGGAAATTATTAGTTAAATTGGAGAAGATAGGGATTAATATGAGAATTTAAAGGTGGATAAGGAATGTGTTAAAGGGGAGACTACAGTGGTAATACTGAAAGGTGAACTGTCAAGCTGGAGAGAGGTTACTAGTGGAGTTCCTCAGGGATCAGTATTGGAACCAATCTTATTTAACATTTTTATTACTGACATTGGCATAAAAAGTGGGAGTGTGCTAATAACTTTTGCAGATGACACAGAGTTGGGCAGTATTGCCAATATGGAGGAGGACCAGAATATCATAGAAGAAGATCTGGATGACCTTGTAAACTGGAGGAATAGAAATGGGATGAAATTTAACAGTACAAAGTGCAAGGTCATGCATTCAGGGACTAAGAACAAGAATTTTTGCTATCAGCTGGAGACTTATCCGTTGGAAGCGACAGAGGAGAAGGAAGTCCTGTGTGTATTGGTTGATCACAGGATGACTATGAGCCACCAATGTGATGTGGCGTGAAAAAGGCTAATGCAGTCCTAGGATGCATCAGGCGAGGTATTTCCAGTGGAGACATGGAAGTATTACTATCATTATACAAGGCAATGCTGAGATCTCATCTGCAATAGTGTGTGCAATTCTAGTCTCCCATATTTAAGAAAGATGAATTCAAACTGATACAGGGTGCAAAGAAAGATGAATTCAAACTGATACAGGATGCAGAGAAGGGCTACTAGAATTATTCGAGGAATGGAAAACCTCCCTTATGAGAGCAGGCTCAAGGAGCTTGGCTTGTTTAGCCTAACAAAAAGAAGGCTATGGGGAGATACGATTGCTCTCTGTAAATAGATCAGAGTAATAAATAGGGAGAGGAGTTATTTAAGGTAAGCGCCAATATGGAGACACGAACAAATGGATATAAACGGCCATCAATAAATTTAGGCTCGAAATTAGGCGAAGGTTCTAACCATCAGAGGAGTGAAGTTCTGGAACAGCCTCCTAAGAGGAGCAGTGGGGACAAAAAACCTAACTGGCTTCAAGACTGAGCTTGATAAACATATGGGGAGGATGGTATGATGGGACTGCCTACAATGGCATGTGGCCCATAGGCGACCGCCAGTAGCAGAAATCCCCAGTGGCTGGAGATGGGACACTAGATGGGGAGGGCTCTGAGTTACTACAGAGAATTCTTTCCTAGGTCTGCCTAGTGGATCTTGCACAAATGCTCAGGATCTAACTGATTGCCATATTTGGGGTCGGGAAGGAATTTTTGGCAGAGACCCTGGGGTTTTTTCGCCACCTTCTGCAGCATGGGGCACAGGTCACTTGCAGGTTTAAACTAGTGCAAATGGTGAATTCTCTGTAACTTGAAGCCTTTAAACCATGTTTTGAAGACTTCAGTAACTCAGCCAGAGGTTAGGGATCTATTACAGGAGTTGGGTGGGTGAGGTTCTGTGGCCTGCAATGTGCAGGAGGTTAGACTAGATGGTCAGTTGCTCCTTTCTGACCTTACAGTGTATGAGTTTGAGACTCATTTTAAACTGTAACGTGGGATCCAGAGCTTCTGTCTAGATGTACATAAAGTCTATTCAGCCATTTGTAATTTATGAATCTTAAGCTACGTCTACACTACAAGTGCTGCAGCTTTGCCACTGTAGTGTAGATGCTTACTACATCAACAAAGGGTTTTTTCCATTGATGATGTAATTAATCCACCTTTCCGAGAGATAGTAGCTAGGTTGAAAGAAGAATTCTGCCAGAGCAAAGTGGAAATATTTTTCCAAAGCTGGATTTGTATATGGCATTTACGCTAGTGTTGACTGATTTCTCTTTTTTTTTTTTTTTTTTTTTTTTTTTGTTTGATTTTTAAAATAACAGACTCTGACACGTGGCAGGCAAGATGGGGACAGTAATATTTGTAAAGAGAAAATACAATAATGCAAATCTACAAGTGGCAATTGAAAGTGGTAACATAAGGTCCTGAGTGAAGGATGAAAGAAATACTCCATCATTTATTTCTTCATTGTATAAGATTGATCTGATAATTTTACTCCTTACACATTGAGGAAAAGGAGCCAATTACCATTTACACCCACCTTATTGTGTGTGTATGTACATATAGAAACCAGAAAAGTAGTGATCAAGTCTCATGGAATTTCATAAAAATCTGATATATAAACTACTTTTGCTTATTAAATGTTTGTTAAACAATGTAAAAATATAGCTTTTATGCATAAACTATATTTTAGTTTATTCAGGCTATAATTTGAAGACCTTACAGTTTTAAACTTTTATCTTACAATTATTGTGCATATTTTTAAAATTAAGGACCTTCTACATCCTTGTTTGGACAGCTCTTTCCTCCCACAATTGGCATATCTGATGTGAGATAGGGTGAGAAAGGAATGTAAGCTTGTCTGCAGGTATTTTATGATTGCAACTCTGCAAAAGAACCTTAGTTTCTTGGTTTAATGAGGCATGATTGAAGTTTACATACTGCAGGGGGTCTGCCTACTGTTGAGATAAAAACACATTCATCATGTACTGTCTCCTCCTCCAAGGCTAACCAAATCCAACATTGCTTTTTTTGACTCTCACACGATACCTCCTCAGTCGTTTTAGCCATAGCTCTAGGAACTGTAGCATTTTTTTGAGTGAGGCCTTCGTTAGTAATGAATATGCTACAATTTCCCCATAATGTTATTCGCCTTTATGAAAATGACTACCACTTACTTTTTGGTGCAAAAACATTGTTCAGAGCTACTTTTGTGACTGAGAAATTTTCACTTTTTGAGCAATGGCCAACAGTGTCTTGATTCAAAAAACCCTTTCCATCTGAATGAAATTGAGTTGCTTGAAAAAGATTTATTTTCATTCCCAATTGATCCTATTTAGTAAAGTGACGTGTTATGTTGGGGGAGAGGGAAGGGAAAAGAGGAGTCCTGTGTGTGTGTGTGTGTGTGTGTGTGTGAGAGAGAGAGAAATCAGTTTTTGCAAATTTTCAACAAAATGTTAAACATCTAATTTTCTGGTATAAGCCTTTTTAGTCATGTGCTTCTCTTACTGAAATTGTGCATTTATATAGTGCAATAAACTATTTCCTTGCCCAAGTGAATAAAACTACTTGGGGGGAGCGGGGGGGGGGGAGCTGGTCTATTTCTTCCTTCTGCTTTAATTAGTTTGAATGATCTAGATAATATATTAAAGCCAAAATAATACTCTCCCCTCCCCCCTTTTAATTCTGAATTTGGAAGGTATTGAATTAATCTAGGTACAAGCCAATATTGGAGGGGTGACAACTCTTTTGCTCCATCCTTAGTTTACTCTTTCCAGGCCAGTTCTGCTGGCTGTGTTATAAGCCATATGTACAGTGTGCACATCCTTTCCAGGGGAATAAGGATTTTTTTAATCATTCCCCTTAATGTTTGATAGTCTGACTCTTAAAACTCTGCAACAGAAACACATGTGAGGGAAGAGAGCTGTTCATTCTTCTCTGAATGTGTTTACCATGTTTCAATTGAAATAGACTAACAAACTGTCAGAGTAGCAACTTTTTCAGTACTGTTCTTTAGAATATTGCTTCAAAGTTGTAGCACAAAAACAGGAATTGTGGTGGTTCTTTTTAGATCAGTGCATAAGCTCCTCACACTTTGCTATTTCATGATACTTTGTTTCCATTTGCTTCTTTCTTTGATCTGTTGCCATAACTGGGAAATGTTACAAATAGCCAAAATGATGAAAGAAGCATGCTTTGATGTGCCAAATTGCTTTCAGATCACACTCTTTAACTCTCTGCAAATGTTATCAAATGTTGGTTGTCTTACAATTACTATGGGGTTGAAACACTGCACATTACTAAATATATGGCCAAGATTAATTCGCGTATGGAAAGTATTTTTCCTGAAACAAGGACATAAGCTTAGACTACATCTGAATCAATGTGGATAACTCAAAGAATTGTTGATGTAGTAATAGTGGGCAGATTCCACAATTTAGGGCTCAGAGATTTAAATGTTTTTCATCAACAGTTCCATCTTCAAAATTGCTTTTATTTTTGAACTATCAAGATGATTTTGTTGGCAATTTTACTCTGCCTCCTACATCTTTGCAGCTACATGTATGGTAAATGTTTTAAATACATATTCTGGAATGTTTTCACCAGGTGAATTTTCTAAATTGAAGCAAAGAAAAGCAATGAATAGGTCAGGCTTTTCCCCCCACTGGGTCTTTCCTCGTTTTTTTAAACATCCCACGTAGTTACAGTTTTTATGGTTCAAGTTCACTGAACCTACATCTGTTGTATTACTTATCCACTTCTGAGAATGTAATCAAATTTTCACAGGCACTTAGAATATCTTTGTCATAAGTTGGGGAAGAGAGTAGGCCACACTACTTAGATGGTGTGTGTTACCCACTTAAACTGTGTTTCAGACAGTACCTTAAAAAGCAATTTGTCTAATTTTGAAAATGCTTATTGGAGAGGCACAAAATTATTTGATTTATAATACCTGGGACAATCTTAAAATTCAGACTCTCTTGGGAATTAGCAATGTTAACGGTAAATAAGTATACTTTTTTAAAAAAGTTAAAATTATTAGTAGATGTAGCATTGTAGCAGTTGCAGACCACAAAAGTTTAATTTTCTGTATGAGTCCTTTTGGAGGATGTCATGTTGGGAAATGTAACTTTTGATCTAGAAGTTGTTAAAGCATCTGCAATAGACAATTTTCTCTTAAGTACGTGTTTCACATAAATGAATGACTTCAGGAAACAAATGCCATAAAATGGATTTAAAGGTGAACAGAATACAGCAATGGCACTGAACTTCATTTTGATAGATTTATTTCCATAAGTTTTCATTTCTAAAGAAGCTTGATCAGTTTTCCATTTAATTATCACCCAAACCAACTCTTGCAAAGTAGTGGTTTGGCAATCTCGCAAGAAGAAAAGAGTTACCTTGAATCCAGTAGTAAACTATTTTGGGGGGTTAGGAGGGCAAGAACAATCTTTTGTCAGATATGTTCTAGGATTAAACTGAACATCTAAAGTCTGCAGGCGTAGTTGTAGCTGTTTCAGTCCCAGGATATTAGAGAGAAAATATGCTTCAGGAAAAAAATTGACTGTGAAATCCTTAACAAACATCAGTTCCACCATAATCTCTCCACTGCCGAGAGGACGGCCATACAGTCCCTGAAATCTAACGTCCAGATAATGATCAAACTAGCAGACAAAGGGGATGCCATTGTAGTCCTCAACCGTGAGGACTATATTAACAAGGCCAGCTGACTACTCTCCGGCACAACCTATGATAAAGAACTCAAAGACGACCCCACACCACAGTTTACCCAGGAGATTAAGGATATCCTCAAAACCTTCCCCAGACAACACCAAGAGACAGTCTACAAACTCATCCCCCACAAACCCATTCAAGAGATCTACATGCTTCCCAAGATACCCAAACAAGGGAACCTGGATGGATAAATCCATCATATCTGGCTATGGCACTTTTACTAATGGAATATCAGGGTTCATAGAAACTGACCTCAAACCACTCACCCCACAAAGGGCCAGCTTTCTCCAGGACACAACTGACTTCCTCCACAAACTCAGCAATATTAACCTCGGTAAGAACATCATCCTTGCCACCATGGATGTCATTTGCCTATACACAATGATGGCATAGCTTTCTGCCTCAAATATTTACAAGACAATGGACAATCCTCATATCTAGCTCCAAATACATTGCCAAACTCATCCATTTCATCCTCACTCATGACAATTTTATATACAACATACAACAACTTTTTTTTCAAACCATGGGAACAGCCATGGGTACTAGGATGGTTCCCCAATATGCCAACCTCTTCATGGACCTCCTTGAAGAAGATATTCTGCACCAATGCACCATGAAACCAATAATATACCTGAAATACATCACTGATATGTAAACTCCCTCATAGATTTCTACCACAACATCAACAACCACCATTCATCCATTAAACTCTCTCTGGAACACTCCCACACTAGCATCAACTTCCTGGACACCACAGTTGACTTCAGCAGTAGAGCCCTGTAGACAACCGTATACAAAAATCCCACAGAACACAATGCCTACCTTCATGGATGCAGTGGCCACCCCAAGCACACCAAGAAATCTGTGATGCCACAGAGTGTGCTCCAGGATGTACATCTTGGCACATTTAGGGCTGCCTTTGCCTGACGGGGACACTCCACCAAAGAAGTGGATCATGTCATGGAACGGGCCACCCAAATGCCCTGAGAGAGCCTGCTTCAATACAGAGATAAGACCCCCTCTGACCACATGCCCCTGGTTGTCGCCTACCACCCCACACTGGAGCCCGTGCTGGGTATCCTCTAATAGTTACAACCCTTACTCAGTGGGTACCCCATCCTGTGGGAGGCCTTTCCTGAACTCCCACTTCTGACCTTGAGGCAGCCCCCTGGCCTCTCCACAATCATCATCAAAAGCAAGCTCCCCACAGACTGGGACACATCAATTCAAAGTAGCTTCAGATCCTGTCAGAACAACAGATACAAAACCTGCAGACATATCTCCACTGCTGCGATGATCGGCACCCCCCCACACACAACACACCTTCCACGGCTCCTACTTGTGTTTATGACAGCACGTGATATGCCTCATCCAGTCCATTGAATGCCCCAGAAACCAGACAATCATTGCGTGCTTGAGCGTACTCACACAGGAAAATGATAAAAGACAAAAAACAACTTGTCACCTGTGGGCAAACACTTCTCACAAAGCAATCACTCTGTCTGACCTATCAGTCCTCATCTTCAAAGGAAATGTGCACAACACTATCAAAAGACAAGCCTGGAAGTTTAAATTCATTATTTTACTAGACTCTAAAAATCATGTACTGAACAGAGACAGTGGATTTATGGTTTATTACAATAATCTGTAACCCACTAACCCCCCTCTTTTTGTTTTATGACTGCAGAGGTGTTAAAGGGCCACTTCACCTTGAATGGTCCTTTACAATGTGTGCTAACGACTTATGCTAAACAATCTGTTCCACCTTGCATTTTGCTCTTTTGCTTCCCAGACCTGAAGAAGAGCTCTGTGTGGCTCTAAATCTTCTCTTTCTCACCAACAGAAATTGATCCAATAAAAGATATTAACTCAACCTCCTTGTCTAGCTGAAGTCTACTTCCCTTAATCCTGCCTGGTTTGTTACGGAATGAAAGTTATCTGGTTCTTTTGGCTTAAACTGTTTTATTTTTTATTTCATACCAAAGAGCTGCCTGTCCAAGGTGCTAATTGCTTTTATGTATGTTTCTGAGCAATGTTTTTAATCCCATAAATGCTCCCATCTTAAAAATATTAGTGTACCTGGTATTAATTGGCACCCTTGTTGGCAGTCTCTGCAGAAAAGACTAAAAAGGGAATGGAGACTAGTGTTCCCACTTATTCCAGTGTTAATCATCAAACAGGCAGTGCTGACAATCTTGCTGTGTGGACTTTGGACTCATCAACTTTTTCTGAACCCTAAAATTTTTAAAAGGCTGTTTAGATATTACCCAGAAATATAAATTTTCTGTAAGTAGTGTAGTTGGCACCTTGACACTCAGACAGTATTTTGCTGATTTAAAATACATCTTCTTTTGTGATCTTTCTTAGGTCCATAATATTCTGGCTGAAATGGTCATGGGTGGAATGGTTTTGGAGACCAACATGAATGAAATTGTCACTCAAATTGATGCACAAAATAAACTGGAGAAATCTGAGGTAAGGCTGAGAGACTCTATAATGAGCTTTAACTTAAAGCATGATCATAATATCTGCATGATATGCAACCTTTGCTGTTTGTCCTTCAATACCATCCTATATACAGCTGCTTGCTTATAGTGCTAAAAATTTACAATGCACATTTAGTATGTGATACATTTCATCTTCTGTGATAATTGCATAGAATAGTAGCTAATTATTTTTTGTTACTTTTATCAAACAAAGCCACATCTGCCATTGGTATCAGTGTGCATTGATAGTCCTTTAAATTTCTTTCACTCAAGACCTCTGGCTTCTTGGGTTTTTTTTTCTTTATGATGGAACCCAATACTGGCTGTAGAACTTAAGGGAAAAATATATATATACCTGTCTCCTAACAAGCTTGTAAAGTGTTAAATAAGTGGTAGTGTATTTGGTGTCATAGTAATACTGCAACACAAAATGATAAACTGGGGTGGAAGTGGGAGGGTAATTATGCATTTAAAGCCCAATCCTGGTCCCATTTAACAGATGGGAGTTCTGCCATTATTTGCAGTGATAAGAGCTTGTCTACATGAACAATTAAACTGCAGAACCTGGGATCTGAAGCTACCCCACACAACCCTGCCATAATCTCACTATTTGTGCGCATTTGTGCATCTAACAGTTTGTTAGAGCACTTTGAGCTAGTCCCATTTCAAAGAGGAATATAGATTAAAGCGCAGTAATGAACTGTTCAGGCATGTCAGCAGGCCGCATATGGACAGTGAGACTGCAGTAGGCAAGTGCGGGGTAGATTCTACTATTCAGTTTGCCACAGTCTTAACTGTTCATGCAGAAAAACCCTAAGATTTGGTCTTCAGTGTACCTTCAAATAGGAAGACTGCATTCTGTATGTACAATGGCCAGATAAATTTGAGTAGGCAGATGTGCTCAAATTTATACTTAATGGATATCACCAATTCACCGACAGAATATAACTGTAGTTTAAATAAAGTCAATGCCAAGTGTTGGATTCTGCAGAACCTGATATCTAATTGGCTTAGTTTAGTACTGCTGAATTTAATTTGCAGTGCGAAGAATGCTAGAAGTAATATAACTGTGACATCAAATGTTATGATCTTTTTATATTGTGTCACTTGCAGTGTAAACCAGTAAACCAGCAATATGTTAGCTAAACCTCCTTGGCTGATCCGTGTTTGTGAGAGGCGATAATCCTGCATCTGACCAATTTATTATTTTCTGGAAGCTCATTGCTATTGTTCAAATTGGGAAAACATTGCAAATTTAATAGTTTCCATTTAAACAAATATTTTTATTACATCTACCAAATTAAGTGATAAATGAGATCTGAAGCTATGTTATGTCCAGCCATTTATATTGTTATTCCTAATTCGTAATCTGGCATAGCAGCCCTTTGACTGTCTGTCTGCCTGTGATTTTCCATTTTGCACCACTTCTTAGTCACTTCAAGAAGCAGCACAGCACTGACTGGGAGAAACACACAACTTGACAGTGATATGATACTGTTTATGCCAGTGTATGCCCAGACTGAATAAATTATAATATTTAATAAGATGCCCAAAATGCCTGTTTAACTTTCTGACAAAGTATTGATCTTGGAGGTAAATGTTTGTTTTCCCCCTCTCCCCCCTTATAAAATAAGGTAAGATCTATCTGAGTAACTTGTTTACATATTTTTCTATGGTGGGTACAGCAAGACAGTAACATAAGGTTTAAGAGGCATAATTTCTTAAGATTACTATGCCATGGTGTTTGAAGAACTTCTTTAAGCTCTGCCTAAAAACACTAGTTAAGGTATTTATTTACTAACTTGTTAATTCTATTGCTAAATCAGCTAGAGAACAGTCTTTTGATTACTCACCTCAAATCTGTCAGTTGAGTGCAGTGAGCCCTATTAATTATTGTTTCCCACTACCTCATCTGCAAGTTAACTACCTTTTTCTTAATATGATGCCTGAAATACAAAGCTAATTGATAGAAAAATACAAACAAGTAATTAATTTGGCTCATAGGAAGTTTGGCTCCATATATCAGCCACATAGCAATTTTGCCTGTTGTATAGAGCAATGAATTATAGAAGGTAAATTTATAGTAGTAGTAAATTGAAATACTTGGTGACTGGGATGGAGTGGATAGCTTCACAATCTGCTCTTCATTAATGCAGATTTTGAGTACAGTTACTGTTTCTTTTTCAGCTCTGACAGTTAATGTAATATTATGATACTCTAGAGCAGGGGTCGGCAACGTTCGGCACGCGGCTCACCAGGGTAAGGACCCTGGCGAGCCATGTGCCGAACGTTGCTGACCCCTGCTCTAGAGTCCATGGTGAATGTTTACTCAGTTAATTCATTAGTCATTTGTTACATGTATACCTAATCTTCATTTATTCCCAGATCACAATTTCTTCTCCTTTGTCCTTTTTGACTAAAGTTATTGTGTCTCAGCTCATTTTCCCAAAGGTGAACTGACAAGATACAGACCTTTAATATATCATGTGGATACATGTTTCAATTTAAGTTATTTTGTAGCAGAAGACTTTTAGAAATCAGTGGATCTTGTCATTTTGATAACCTATGATTGAAGCAATATTAGAAATAAATGAACAAGAGCTCTCCAGAGGCTGTTTTCAATAGGATCTGTACTTCATACTCATAAGATTACCAAGGCTTCCAAACACTTTACAGCTCTTGACTTTAGTATGGTTCCCATCTATTAGAAATGCTTGTATCCAGAAAGTAATTGTATGAAGAATGAGCTGCTTTTCCTTTTGCAGCTAAAATGGCAAATTGCACTAAATATATTTAGCCTACATTTTCAGAAATTACCTACATTTCACTTAAATTTTAATATAAAGTGGGGTGGATAGGTGTGGTATATTTTGGGTTCAGTTTCAATAGACCAAAATGCAAGATGATTATATGTAGACTTTGTTTGCCTTACTGTTGTATGTCATAAACATTTGAACATTTAAGCTGTTAAAATTTTTTAATTGGACTTCAGTTGAAATTTAACATGAAGAATTAAACATCTGTTTATTGCATTCACAAATGTAAGTAACAAATTCCTTTGTCAAACCAAAGGCTGCTTAGCCAGGGCCCTTGGCAGAATAGTAGCGCATTGCATTGTTGTGATGGAGTCCCAGGTTTGATTTATGGCTCTACTCTTTTGTCACCTGGACTATGAGAATATGAGTATGGTACTGAGGCAATATGCCCCTTTCTGGAGGGAGGGGAAGTGTGTCCCATGTGCTTCATCACTGACACATGTGACTAAGGAGCAGCATTGTTGGTCCCTGAATGGATTCCTGGTCAATCCCTCTGAATCAAAAACATGACTGTGATTTGGGATTAAGGGAGGGAAGGTTGGGAGAAGATCATTGGGATGCTATCAGGTCCATAGCTAAAACTGGCTACTTGTTTTCTATTTGGTGTGTTCAGCTGGGTGTGAATTTAGTCTTACTTTTAAGTCGGAC